ATTGCGTTAATTCTTTTCTTAAATTTATATAACATAACATATCCAATATCTTCATCGGTCACGTTCATTTTGAAGGTTTGTAATAACTGACATATTTCCTCTACGTTCGTGATATACATTTTGTGACATCGATTCCTACAAATTGCAGATTCTATATACATGGCTTGTTCAAGCGTGTTAAACAAATTGAAAAAAAAAACGCTAATGACGGTACAACAAATGTTCTTATTTTACTTTCAACCGAACAAAATGTTCAACAGAAAGCAATACGTGTCTATTTTATTCTAGTTACTAGAATAAGCACCTCAAAATATTTGATTTTTCATAAATATCCGAAACTAGTTACGACTATAATTAGATAATATGCCTGCGATCATTCTCAGTGCCGTTGAACAATCAATTGATTTTTTACCCGGTTACAGTTGAATTTTATGTATATAATTTAAATTTAAATTAGCATATCTAACAATAAGTGATCATCATTAAACACAGCGTCGATCGCCTAACATTAACAGAGCTCTAGGGAAATAACGGTGCGCGAAGAACTGCTTGTGATCGACGTAAACGTTGCCTGTTACGTGACTTAAGTCCGTCTTGTTCGGCGGATACAATAAGGACGTATGGAATATTAAAAAATAAGTGGGTCACATTGATGCGGATCTTTTCATATCAAAATTTCGCGAAAGTATGAAAAGTTAACCATCGGTGGAACTTTCACAATAACGCGATTCTCTGTTCCTTTTCCTCCTTTTCCGTTTCTGTTCTTGTTTTTTTTTCCGTAATTATTTTCTCGTTCTATTTTTCTTAAAATGACTCTTTGGACACACCCTCCTCTCACAAATAAAGGAAACTCTATTATGGGTCTTATACAAAACATTCTCCGGATAAATATACGAACCCATGATCAACTTCGGAGGATCTCGAACGACAGTCGTATGTGATCCAATCGATCAGTCATGATTTAAAAATTGCGTCGTTCTTTTTACAGGTGGTCGTTGCTTTTTGTAACTAAGGCTTCCTTATACAGAAAGCCCCAACGTGCGTGGCAAACCATGAATGGAATTCAATTCTGTTTACATTAGATTTTGTTTTTGTGACATGCTATTTTGAATACATATATAGTATTCTCTCCTTATAATTGCGCTTTGGGGCATAAACTTTGGGCTTTTAACTGCATAAAGGGTGCATGTTAAAATCTTATAATTTGCAGGAAACGAACATTTTCACGGTACATGTCCCGTTTCTGTAGCAAACAGAAATTATTTACGTCCATAGCTCACCCTACAGTAAGCGGTACATTCAGCCTTCGAAGGTTCCTGCCAAAAAACAAATTCCTTAGAACAATGGAGATATCCCCTTTCTGCAATTACGGATTCATTTATTAATCTAAGAAAAGTGTACTTCACTGAGTGTAAGGTTCGTTAAGTTAAATATAAAATAAAAACTTCAACTCTCTGGTTTCCTCGACATTGAAAAGAAAGTTGCATATCAATGAAACAATCGCTAAAACGTATTCCTGTTTTCTATAAATGCGTTACGTGAATCCAGAAACGTGATTATATAGGGAGAATACTGTAGACATATTCAATTTCGTTTAATTACATGGAAAATTTGTAAAATACAAATTTTGTTTGTTTTTTAATGAAGAGAGATGATATTATATAGGATCATCTCCTTAAGAGGAGATTATATAGGATTTTGTTAAACGAAACGATTCCACCTTCAGACTTGAAACGAAATTGTAAACGAAACAAAATACAAATAACATGTGTATATTGATGAATTTTTTCTTTTCAAGTTATTATCTAAATATCTTTAAGCGGTATAATTTTGTATGCGTGATATTCATCCTTGTTTATGAAAAATTAATAATGCCTATTCAACAAAAATGAGAAAATCAGCTATTAACGGTTGAAGAATTTTTATAAATAATGTTAATTAGTCATCAATGTTGTAAGCAAATTATATTCATCGATTATATTAATTACTAGACACAAATATTGATGCGTTTATATCATGCATGAATGCGTTAATCACAAGAGAATAACAATTTCAATAAAGATTAATTTTTATTTTATCGGTGTTCTAATGAAAAAAATGTCTGTTTAGTATTTCTTCTTTAGATATAGATCATGTCCGCGTACAACAATTTCTTCAGCTTCCGGCCTATTGGACGTGGCGCATGAAGAATATTTAAATAATAACTTTTTAGGAAATAATGTATGAGCATATGTTTACTGGAATCTTCATACCAATTGTAATGTATTTCTTTTTAAATTCTAAGCCCAATGTTCTTTCATGTACAGGCGTGAGAAAAAACTGTAAAGAAAGCTGTACAAATGAAGTTACTGAAAAGAAATTTTCACATTACATCTGAAAATAATTTTTTAACGAAAAGACACACTTTCCTATTTGATTAGAAACTGTGGGACCTTCTGTATAATACTTCTCGATGAACCTGTTGTTCATATCCCGTGGTGCAAATGCAACAGTGTATAAACCAGAAACTGACTCAACGCTGATGATATATGTGCATATTTACGTGCTGTCGGCTACTGGTAACAATAGGTAATTGAAGGTACATATAACGTTGTCTATAAAACAAAACAATCGTACGGTCTAGCGGATTTATATATTGACAGTACCTATCATTGTCAATACGTGTGTATAAATAGTTATGGAATTATCGCTAATTCACGAGTATGGGGCGGCTTGGACATTCGCTATAAACGTCATTGGAGATAATGCTCATTTTAACACCTCTCTAAATCGAGATGACTATAATAAAACGTTCCTAGATTCTTATCCTATCAAAGATTATAAAAAGAAATCGTGTTACTCAAAAACTGTATGGTTACAGCTTTGATGATACACCTTGTCGGTTTTAAAGGGTTTGTATTATAGTCAAATTTTAAAGGGAATCGACTTAAATAATGTATCTCCGACTCGAAAAGAATTTTTTCTATTTAATAAATAGAATAATAAACTATAATGTTTATCTAAATAAAAATTACACAGTTTAGATCGTAGATACTTTTATGTAATAAAAGCTCAAGGATTAATTATGTGTTCTATAGATGAATCATATTTATGTACAGTAGATGGTACATGAAATACAATTACAAGTAGTCATCATAACAGATCCAATGTCATCCACAGTAGCCGCTTATTTTTTAGTACTCCACACTTAAAGTGATAATGAGGAACAATGAAATTACTTATGCGCTGATCTAACAGATTCATAAAACCATTTCAGATAAATAACTGAACGAGAAGTTTCATTGATTCACTTCTATGATCAGCCAAGTCGATTCCATCTTTCCAATCCGACTATAAAGTTATTTCGTTCATGTCCTCGAAGCAAACCTTTGTACGTTTTAGGAGTAACAATACATAGACAGATACAGTAACACTGTTGGTCTCTGGATGTCTACGCAGCGACAAAAACAAGAAAATCATATCTCTACTTGCAAGCACAAATTTAACTGCACGTACACCCGCGCGCAAACTCGGCTTCCATTAGGGGAAAAAGCAACGTAGAGGTTAGGGCCTCCTACTACTTGGTTAATTTATTTCAAATACTGAAATAAATGTTAAACCGAATGTTAATTTCGCATAAGTTTCAATAACTCCGAGACCAAGTGGTAGGAGGTCTTTCCCTTACATCACTTTTTCCCCTAGAGGTGGCCGAGTTTCCTCGTGAGGGTACAAGGCTACTCCGCAGTACGAAGATGATCCTAACCTCGAATTACCAGTTAACATTGATTTCACGATACCTCCTTCCGACCATCGTTTCAGCCGCCCCATCTCGAGATCCCATTACGAAAAAGTATTCCCTAAGCGCTCTTCTCGTAGGCCTGACGTTGATCTTTTTACGTTACTTACAATTAGGCGAATGAAATACAACGAGCATGGGTTAAGTACAGACGACAGTTAGTTTGATGCGTGCGCACATTGGTATACAGGCGAATTATTTTTCTCCCTTCCGTTAAACACTTTCCGCTCACACCCCCCACCGTCAACCATACCACCACCCCCTCCATCATTCGTCTGCCCTGTTTCGACAAGGACGAACACAGGCCGGACGTTAAAAGTTACCATTTAGTGTTACCTTAATTTTTTTGTTATATAATACGCGTTAAGAAACATTTAATTGAACAACATGAAACGCTCGCGCGATTATGCGAGTCCGTCAATATACATATAAAGTGTATATAAAATTCGAATACATTCGGCGGACCGCAAAAAATGAACGAGGTGAAAAACTTTCAACAGCATTTACTAGAGTCCAACGTGTCGCATAAACTATACGAAACAATGAGCACTCGAAGTTTTGGGAGAAACGAAATATCTTTGGACGGTACTGGCGAAGAAGCGTTCAACAAAATCTCATTTACCACGGTCACCCACAGACACAGAATCCCCCACGTTTTCTGTTCTTCTGCTCGCGCACCAGGATCGTTAGTTGTAGCTGCCCTTGCTAAAAATCCGCGAGGCGAAGTGGTATTACATCGAAGTACTTTTCTTTTTCATATTTTTCGTTCTAGCTTTAAAGCCGTTGGTTCGAGCTGCCCCGCGTAAGGCCCCAAGAAAGTGTTCCTCCCCTTTTTCGCGCTACACACAAGGTTGTTTCCGGCTCGATATCTCTTTTGCAAAAATCTCTCTTTCGTGGCGACGGCTGATTTGTTGTTTTTTTTTTTTGGTTTCTATCTTATTTTTCTTTCTCTTTTCCTTTTTAGAACGGTCACTTGGTTACCTTAAAGTCTTACTGTCTAGCCCGTCACTAGCTTTAATAATCGAAAGACATATGGCTCTATTACACGCTCAAAAGCTGTATTTAAGGATGTCTTTCATTTTTTTTGTAATTCTATGTGTAGCGTATCGTTACAGCTTTTTAATTTCCCTACGACCTGCTATTTTTTTTTCTTCTTTGTTCTTTTTTGGACGAATATTTCGTTTTAATTACAACGTACGTTTTGTCGTAAACTCCCGGCACCTGTGTTCCAAATTTCACACGAACCTGAAAATAAATTATAGAGTGGAATGAAATAATCGCAAAATAATGATAAAATCGGTTTAAAGTAATACGATAATGCTTTGATTTTCTTCTTAGATCAGTCGACGTATTTTCTATAAGTTTTCATCGGCTTAAAGTCCCAATTGTGTTATAATTCTCTAGACTTCATTCGCATTACATTATCGGATTTTTTTAAGCCATACAATTTAGTATTATTTACATGTTATTCAAATACAAAATTACATTGTAACTTCTTTATTATGTTTAGACGTAATTATCTTCAACATACTGTTATTCGAAATACCATTTTGAAACAGAAATGTTATTAGTATAATTATTTATTTTTATTTTAACAGATAATTTGGGAAACAGAATGTCTAAGCTCTTTGCATAGGCGTAGCCAGGGGTGAGCAGAGGGGGTGGGTACTTGCTCCCACCTGGACGGAAATGCCCCCCCCCCCCTCCCGACTGATAACCTGGCTACGCCCATGTCTCCTTGAGTGAATCTTGCGAATCGACAGAATTTAGGAGCCTATATATGTATATAGACAGGGTTAAAAATTAATATGATTTTAAATTCATTCATACCCCCGTTCATAAGTACTAGGACACCTGCTGATACAGTCTCATATATCTAGAACGTAATAGTTGATCCAGATTATATAAATTTTACTAATTTTATGACGTCATATTGAGAAAAATATACATAGTGATAGATGTATTTATTATTTATATCATTAACCATTTGCAAGAGGTACAGGAAAATAGTGAACTAAACGTTATACGTTGGCACCCATAATCCCCTGATATAAACTCCATTGTAAAAATTTGGAAGAAATTAGATTGGAAAATCCGAGAAGTCTGCCTAAAATCTCAATCTGATTCGTGGAATCATTTACAGCACACATGAAACTAAATAACGACAGATGTAATGCACAAATGAGACGAATACCAAAATTGATTAAACCGGTTATCGAGAAAGTAGTGACAGATATATGGGGTGTGTCAGGTCGGATGGTATCACAACATGTGGTGATTCTATAAGAAAAAATAAGTAATAAAATTTTGCAGGGGATATTTCATTTTCGAAATAATCGAACTAGAAAATTTGTTGGATACAGGGACAGTAGAATAGAACCATAGGACTACGGGTCTATTCATTGCAAACCGTTTCTACTTATTGCCAGCATGAATACACGCGTTTTACATCAATTTTCGAACCCAATTTTCACGAAAACGAAAATCGAAAAAATGTATTCTTATTTTCGACTTTTTTTCGTATAAAATCACCTCCTGTCCAATTTTACTACCCAATCTGGGACACTCTGTATAGACGAGAAGAAAATTTAATTTCATTACACATAATTGGACATAGTGAGACATTTATTGTAACGTTGAATATATAATACTTTATATTAACTATTCTACTTTGAGTAGAATTATATATTCTAAGTCTTATATAATATTATTAGAATATATAATTCTACTCAAAGTAGAATAGTTAATATATAATTGTTAAAGGTTTTAGTAATTTTCCTAACGATCTTTCAGGTTTACTTACTTTTCCAATAATGTCTTAATATGTACTTGTGGACGAGGGTGTACACTGAAACAATACTCAAAAATAAAACGTTCAAATAATCATAATTATTTTCATACTTGTATCAAATGAAGTACCGGTGAGTGTCAGTTACTTGAGCCGTTGTGTAACATTGGCCAAGGCAACGGCGAACGCTTGCAGCGCACTGAAAGGATATTGAAAATCCAGCGTGTAGGCGTTCCCATCTATCCTCCCAAATTGCATGACCTGCAAAAAAATCGAAGCAAACATAATTACCCGGGCATATGAGACAAAGAGTTATCGATACGAAGATTGTTCACCTACCTGACGACCTTTGAATTCTATTTGAAAGTTTTTTGCGCTTTCTTGTGTCACCCTGCCGCCAAAGTCAAGCTGATATACTTGGCTAGATTCGTTCCACATAGGCGCCTTATTATGCATCACAAGTTCTCGTCTTACCGCTTCCGATTTGTGACTAGATATTCCGACCCCTTTTTGCTTTAACTATGTATCATAATCATGAATATTTTATTAAAATGATGTACAATGTAGTTTACTTGAAAATATTTAGAAAAATTGAATGAATATATTCGGTCTTGCAATAAGAAAAATGAATGTTCAAAACTGCATTGGACTTGTTCTGTGAGTATGTTCGTAAAAATATGCATTGTCATTAATTTTCAATAATGGGAATTGAAGGAAAATCTTTCTTACAAATTAAGAACTTTATTAAAGTAATAGTAAATTTAAAGCTTCGCTTATCTTCGTTTAAGATTCTATTTCTTCGTGTTCTACACGTTTTCATGTGTCATGACTAGACTGTGGATGTTTATAAATATTCAAATTTTCATACACTTTTTACAAAAATTAAAATCAACACTGTATATTTTACACCAATAAAGAAATTTATTAAATTAAGGTGTTTGGGTAGTAAAACCCATCGACGTATTTTACGCGTATTTCGATTGCATTTTCAACAATTAATAACTCTCAAACGAAGCTTGAAAGCAATTTCATCATTCTTGATTTTCGTCGTAATTTGGCATGTAGAATTTACCCTGCGATAGTATCGGACATTTTTATAAACTCCCTGTATAGCATTAAAAATGTATCATTCCGTCTTTACATTATGAACATTCAAGTACATTCAACATTATCAATTTTACCAACCTTTTGGCGTAACTGTGCCTTTTGGAAAGTTTCAAGGTCTCTGTAGTTCGTTGACGAGTCGTCTTGAAGCAGACCTTCCTCGTCCGAACTTTCACCTCGACTCTTTCGCGCCTTTCTACTTAATAAAGGACTCGATAGCAGCCTTCTCCTAATTGGCGAAGCTGACGCCGGTCTTTTGCCTTTCTTCGAGGGTGCTGGACTACTAGGAGAACTTCTGGGCAATCTAAACAATGTATGCTTTTTGTTACGTCGGCACATAAATTGACTCATTCGTTCCTGGCCTAAAATTTGTTGACACTCTTACAAGAGAAGGACCACAATTGTCCGACGCCGAGTTTAAGGAGGTTTTCTAAGTTGATAATACACAAGTTCCTAATGATATATGTGAAATATTAGGCGTAGACACTCGACAATTTTAAAGATATAAACAAATAAAATTATGTACATTTAAGATGTCCTGTATGTGAATATAAGTCAAACTTGTCGAAGTATAAGGTTGTTTGGCTGATAAATCGGAGGTCTTGGAATCGATTCCTGTTCATCGAAATATTTTGGTTTTACTTTGCCAACGCAACTTCGATAACTTTGATTTATATTCATAGTATATCTTGAAGGGTTGTAACTTCAATTGTTTATGTATTTAAAATTATCTGGTGTCTATACCTAATGTTTCACATATATCATTAGGAACCTGTATACTATCATCTTATAACACCCTGTTAAAATTAACTTTAAACAATTAAACACCAACAACTACGAATACTTATGTTCATAAAAAATAGTTAACAGTTAATGAATCAATGATCATCACTGAAAGTGTTAATTAAGATTAGGTGTGTTATAATGTATTTGTAATATAATTCTAAACTTTGGTCGGTGGCATACGTAATAATAGTTAATGTGATCGTTCAGTTGTAAATATATTGAAAATGAGAAATGAGATTTCTTTACACTGATTGTCGTGGAAACGAATTATAAACATTCATTGAGTACACGTATCTTTGTGAAAAAAATCAGCTATGTATTTCTCGACAAATTATTCAGTAAATGATTTATTTAAATTTTTATCATGTCTGTTATGTCATGTTTTTCATATTTAATTTTTATTTCTAAGGCGAATGAAAATGTAAGCAACTTAAACAATAATTATCACTAATCTCCAATATTTTGTACCGTTTATGTCAAAGGATAGAAAGATACTTTGAATACAAGCTTATACTGTCATCTTACTGGAAAAGTAAACGATTATTCATTGATCACCTAATAATATCACCATCGTGTATAAATCCGTCGATGAGTGAGAATACGAATCTATGAAAAGCTGTGAAGCAGTTATATGCATGTACCCAGCGGACAATCAAAATCGATTTTCTAAAAAAAAGTCTTCTTGTAAGAACGTTTTGTATCTACCTTATCATCGTCACTTCCACACTCTGTATTCAGGGTGGGTCACCTAACTTGATGATTTCAAATTGCTCTTAAATTACTTGCTGTACAATAATATGTTCCAAAAGAAAATTGCATGGTATTAAGGAGGATACATAAAATAACAATTTGCTTTGTACTACCTTACATTTTTATTGCGATATGGTCACATTCAGTTTTTTAAATGGGACGCCTAATATTTCTTCTCAAATGTCGACAAAACGCAATTGCATTGATCGTAACGAACAACTCTTCGAACACCACCTAAAATAAAACTTACTTCATTAATATCTCGGTAACTGTTAACTTTAGACCCCATTTTGGTACAATATTCTTTTATGCAGTGTTTGGCACTTTATTGAAATTAAGGGAAGAAATATTAGACATTCCATTGAAGAAGCTGAAGGTGACCTTTTTATCTCGATAAAAATGTAAGGTGGTAAAAAACGAACTTCAGTATTTTCTCGATGAATGTGAAAACTTCGGCTCCCCCTGTAACGCTTATAGAATCAGTCGATGAATTTCGCGCGTCACAATTTTGAAGTCGCTTTTTTCGACAACTCGAATTTGTATTTTGTCAGCAACAACGAGACGGTAGCAGAAAAGGACAGCGAACAAAAAGAAAGAGCCTCGTGAAAGGGTAGCACCTGACATTTTACATTACACGCTTAACTAGTTCCAAGCAAGACCTCCCAACTTTAGTGGTGTGGCTGAACTCTTAACTCTTAACTAATATATTGTCTTAGATGTCCTTTGATACCACGCAATTTTCGTTTGAAATATTTTCTCGTACAGCAAGTAATTTACAAGTAATTTGAGATCGTCGAGTTAGGTGCCTCACCCTGTATTTACCTGGACGATGGACGAGGCGATGGCGGTGGTAAAGAGTGACTCTCGTCGAAATCTCGAAGTCGAGCTGCAAGACCGTCCAAGGATGACGCCAGTGAGCCGCTTGGACTGGAGCCTCTGTACAATGTACAATAACGTACAACATCGATATAAAATATTGTTGCGTGGACGCGGCATGACTTCCGAATAAATAAAGACAATATTAATAAAAAGGAAGAATTATTTATTTGGAGAAGAAGAGTACATATCTTAACACGTCTTTTCTATTCTACAGTCGTAGAAGGAAGGAGAATTAGTGTGGGTTTGTCAACCTCACAGAGTTAAGGGCAAATGTCCAAAGTTACAATCTACTTGGGAAGGACCTTATGTTATTGTTAATAGATTGAGTGATGTTTACAGGATTCGTAGGAATCCAAGAAGCAAATATAAAGTAGTTCATGTTAACAGGTTAGCAGAATATAAGACAAAATGATGAATGGGTGAATGTCTATAAATAATTAGTTACATTATAAAGAGATAGGTAGATAGGATTCCCCACTTCGTTTCGCAGGCTCGGCGGAAGGATGGAAGGGAATGGGTGTCGAAGCGTTCTGCTACGAAGATGTGTCGTTGATCCTACCTTTGTGCAGGATGGAAATGACCGGGGAACTTTAGAAGTATGAATGTAGGTGTACTTACTGCCCGCATTTTATCTGGAAAGGATGTAACCAGGTCAAAACGACGAACGGGAGGAGGATTGAGATGGTTTTGGCTACGGTTGTTGTTAAACAAAGCCGACCTTAGCAGTCGTCTTAATCGTAGTGCATGGTGGTAGTTAGGCATATTTATGTTTTAGGTATATGTATGTTCTTTTCTTGCTGTTTTTCTGTCCTCTTTTTTTTTCAGAGGAAAAGACAAGTTACTATTTGGAAAAATGGAAAAGGATTTCTTTGACGAAGCAGAGAAGTATTTTCTCTTGAGGGCGGATACTATTGAAGACAATGAAAATTATTACGCAAGTCCTCAAGATTGATTATTATTGTTATTATAAATTGTTAGATTGTTTTGTCGGCCGCTAGCCCTCCCAGGTTTTTAAACCGTGGTTTTCCATGGGGCAGAAAGTGTTTTCTGACCGAATGTCAGGCTAGTTTTTGGTTTTTATGGGTCCACGATAATTTTATTATTAACGAATATTCCCACGAAACCAAAGGCCTGTTTCTTCATGAAAAAGAATTATTTATGTTATATAGAGTGTTACATGTTAAATTGTAAACGTATTTGAGTCTTAAAAGAGGAGGAGGGGGGAAGTGTTACGTGTTACCTGATAGGTAGCACGTATTGTATAATGTTAAAGCGAGAGACTTCAGGTTAGCGACGTCCTTTTGGTAACAACGCCAAAACAGAGACAGAGTAGAGTCGTGATAGGACTGTAGAATAGAAAAGACGTGTTAAGATTAGCGTTGTTAAAATGAGCCTCGAGTCTTGAGCTTTAACAGCTCGAGTCGCGGTTCAAACCCTAAAGGCTCGAACCCTCAAGGTTCGAAGCTTGAGTCGTGAAAGCTCAAGTTTTTAATGCTCGAGCCTTTAAGCTTGAAGGCTCGAGTCGTATAAATTGTACGTAGTGAAGTAATGTACAGACTTTGAGTTTTCGAAGCCTTAAAACTTAACCTAAAAGTTTTCAGTTTGTAACTCTAATATTACACGAATCTTAAGCCTTTAAAGCTTCAAGGGGGAATAATCCAAAAACGTCCAGAAAAGCGTGGTTTTTGTAAATTAGTTTTGCAACACCCAAACCTCTCTCAATTTGTTCACGGTTCATTGATCTGAGAGACAAAGTTGGGACATTTTTTTCGTTATTCACGTGATATTCGACTTAATATTTTAGTAGAATATTTTCGAAAAATTATACTTTGAAAGTATATATAAAAAACTTAATTTTTTCCAACCATCACTGTGTTATTCCACATTAAGTTTGAAGCTTTAAGGTTCAACCCTCTAGAACCCTTAAGTGTTAAATAATGGAATTAACACTAAATCTATAATATTATACTTTATACAGTTTTTAAAGTATACAGCCATGACTGCAAACACATGAGAGATTGATACCAGGAAAGGGAAACGAAAAATGAGACAAAATAACCATTGAATAGTAGACGAAATGAAACATTGCTAAAAATTTGTCTGTAATGTTCAAAATATAATATTATCAACTGAAAACATACTCTTACGCCCTGGTAGTCATAGATGACCGGCAGCAAGATTAATGTGCTACTCATATTGTTTAATATATTATTATATGATTCCAATGGGCAATCACTGTTTGGCGCTGAAGACAAAACCAGCAGAAACACTCTCGGCAGTGAACGTGTTAGCCTCGAGCTTCCAGATCCGAGCCTTAAAGCTCGAGTTTCGAGCCTCGACGACTCGAGCCCTGAAGCTCGAGCCTCGAGCTTCATATGATTTTATCTACTAAGCTTTGTAGCTTCAAAGACTCGAGCTTTATACAACACTAGTTAAGATAAATACTCCTCCTCTCCAAATAAATAATTCTTCCTTTTTATTAATATTCCCTTTATTTATTCTGGAGTCATGCCGGTCGACGCAACAATATCATCGACTTATTAAGATCGTATGCTTACCTAACGGGTGAATTAGAACTTTCCACTCGACTCGGTTTCACGGCAGGATTGACCAGATTAGGACTGGCTGTACGCTTCGTACACTGAACGAACACCTCTATCGCATCGGACGAATTCTCCAATGACTCGTTACTTTTATCCTCGGCCATTTCCGCGTTAGCGACCCCTAACGCTTCTTCGATGTGTTCCGATAACTTTGGCGGCGCAGCGACATGCTCGTTCATTGGGAATATGTCGCTGGAGTCCAGACTCTTCGATTTGCCGCAGTTCCGAAGCCTCGGGGATTTAGATGTCTGTTGACCGATTTCGGGCTGAGGCTTACTCTTTTTTCTCCTCTTCGTCTTCCTCGATACCAGGACTAGCCTTTTATTGGGCGCCTCCTTTCGAAGCATCTTCAAGGCGACGTCGCAAGGGACCAATTGCGCGTCCACCATGTCCAAGTAACCAACGCTGCAACTTCTGACGATGGAGTCGTTCAGGCAAAGGGGACCGATACTGACAACCGTCGGTGTTCTGTGAACAGCTCGCGACTGTTCCAACGCCACTGCTTCGCCGCGTGATTCGTCGTCGATGAAACGTATCTCCTCGGTTTTACCGGTGGAACTACAAGTGGCCGGATGGTTCGCGTTAGTTTTACCGCAGGACTCGTGCGGCTTGAAGTCTTTGTACTTCGTAGTGCAATGGGAGCAAGACTGTCCAACGCACTGCTCGATGTTTTCCGGGAATTGATAGGAGCACGCCGGCGAGTGATTGCTGGTCAAGTGTATACCATTCTTGGTGAACGGACCGTTGCTTTGTCCATGCTGTGGGTAAGAGCTTAACGAAGATGCTTGATTCACAGTTCCTGAAGCGGTGCTGGTGTTGTGACTGTTCTTCTTACCCTGAACCCCGTTGAGGAAGATCGTTTGTGTCGGAGAGCAACTGTTGTTGTTGTCCAAACCGTTGGCGACGGCAGTTTGCGAACAGCCACGACTACTCGACGCTTCTGTACTCGAAGGCTGACCGTTATGTATGGACAAAGAAATAATTGTCGTCGGACAAGACGAGAGTATAGTTTTATCGTCTTGGGATATCTGGTTAAATTTATTATTCTCGAGCTCTTTCTTCGTGACTACACCGGCTTGCTGATCAGCTAGAACAGTCTTCATCCTCTGGATGTTGTTCGTGTAATCGGTTCCAGTATTCGATGTCGCGATTATCGTCTCTGTAGGTGCGACTGCGTTTTTCGGCGACTGCAGGGCTGGAACGTCGCAACATCTCGGTGGATTGTGCCTCGGCGGCGTTCGATAGGTGTTCGTGGGAGCGGTCCTCAGATTATCGTATAAATTTCCCATTTCCTGCAGGTCCACGTAGGGCAACTCGTTCTCGTAATTCTCGACCCTGGACAGTGTGGCGGGCAAAGCTTCACTGGCTATAAATTGATTCGAAATTTGGGATTTCGGGCGATTAGAGTTCAGCCGTGCGTTACGGGGTGTCATTGGCGCGATCGGCGGAGCTTGCGCCTCGGTAGTACTCCTCGATGCGGCTTGGAGTTCCTGGAACGATTCCTCCTCATCCTCGGAAAATAAGTTTGGGTTAAACGTGGGATCTGGACCTATGGGAGAATAGCGTCAGTTTCCGTGGTGAGAAGCTTTTGTCGTTAAATTTGAAGACGTACCTGCTGGCACATCGTCGCGCAACTCTGTCATTACCAGAGTCATTTGTCGTGGTTGCAAATGCAACAACGACGTACGATAGGTAACCTGACCCAAGTTGGCGGGCACCGAGTCCGCTAATCCATGAAACTTGAATTTCGTGCCCCAGATATTGGACGTTACTTCGACGAGCCTCGCGTGCTACAAACAGATACGTCTTGTGACACCGGCGGTCACGCGACTAGACTTTGGAATACTCTGAGACTCAAAGAGCTCGTTAAACTTTGTTACATCACAAAACTTCTTAAATCGATTCGATTGCGGTCTTCTTTAGCACACACGACATCTAATAAGTTAGTCAGATAGTACGGAATAAAAAATAAAATTTCTTTTCTTTTACCTCGGGCAAGGTGTCCACGTAAGTAAGATCGTCATTCTCCTCGGTCGTTTTTTCTTCTCTTTTTCTTCTATTTTTTCTTTTGTTCCTAGGTGATCCACACAGGTCAGCCGTGTCTCTCTCTGTATCGGATCCATCGCTGAACGACGGACATTGCGACATATCCTCGACTACTTGTAAAGTATCTTGACTTTGCGGATCGAATATCACGAACTCTGGCCTGATTTTGCTAGTTCGCCTACCCTTCAGGAGGGGCACCAGTCCTCCTAGGTACTCTAAGTATAACGTGTAACATGGAACTGGTTCCACCGCGTGTCTGAGCATGGTGCAGTTCAATCTTCCTCCTCCTGGAGGCGGTCGCGATACGAAACGCCTTAACTCTCTTGGTTCTGGTACTGAACATCTGAAAATAGTGTACGTAATATACATTGCCGATTTGAACAAAATACATACGTAAGATATTTTTGCGTGTTACATCACACCTTACTTTTTTGTTTCAGTGGAATTGCAAAAGATATGGTTGTAAGATTAGCTTGGAACCACTAAGTGATTCTAATTCGATCGTGGTAAAAATTTTTATATTATTTTGCTCGTTAACATTGTTTCCACTGAACTTTCTCTATTAAAACGGCAGTTTCCTGCAGAACAACTAAATATGCAATTCTTTTTCGGAGTATCGTTAAGAAATGTTTAAGAGGATACACCTCTTTGTTGGTCTAAAAAAATAGGTAAACTGAACATTTTTTTCTCAGATAATTATTGAACAAAATATTAGGATCGCTTTAAAGGCTGTTATGCAATATTTTAACTCTATTTTTTATACGTTAGTTATTATTTAAAATTACAAAATGGCGGAGTTATGCAGTATTGTCTATTTTTCTGGAAAAACCTTGTCAGCTGGTACCTACCCAGCAAATCGCCGAAACTATTCATTTGATTAACTTTAAATATGGACACATTATTCCTTATATAATTATCTACAATGTAGCGTACGACTTTTGAATAATTTAAAAAAATAAGGGAATAACAGCTTAATAAGGGAAACATTTTTTTCACTAAAAGATATCAACTTTGAACATTCATAGAAACTCAACAAATTAAGATGTCTACGAGTAATTTGAACAATGGACTACTGAAGGTTCACTGAACCATACGATTTTCTATTTCCTCGACAAAGATATAATAAAGACACTATAAGCCTGAAATACTACGAACTTCCCCATGGAAACAATATTTTCTACCAACATAACTATATACCGTTTATTATTTACAATAGCAGAACTCATATACCTTATTGTACTGGCGAAAAGTGCGGCCACGGATGCTCTCAATCTCGGCGGCAATGGAAGCTGCTGAACACTGGACTCCCTTGTCAGAGCTGCTCTCACAGCTAAACGAGACAACAATTGCAACGAACCTACTCGTCTGCGAAATACAGGCGGCGTGTTTCAGATACGTTGGAATGAAATATGACAATGGTAAAAATAGATGTATGGCGCAACGTGAATTACCTTGACACCCAAGCCGCGTGTACACGTGCTCCGGTCGCGACGAAAAGTCTCCTATCGTTATGTCCCCACGTGAGCGCCGACACTGGACACTAACATCGATAAGAGGGAAATTAACGTGCATCAACGATAGCAGTGTTTCGACGAAATAATTGTGGGCTAGACCGGGGTTGAATGTAACAAGTTAAATATTTTGAAATGTATTATAGTCATTGTGGCAAGGGTTCGATTATGTGATTGAAAACTTATAATTGAAATACACATATCGAATATTGTAGCAGTCTACATACGCAATAGATATGTGCAGTAGACAATGTAACTTTTCGATGCCATGAAGTTTCTTTTTCTTAGTGCTTTCACTTTAGATATATTCCCTGTGCAAATATGTGCCTCATCTTTTTTGAATTTTTAACTCAGTCGTTTTACTAGTATAACGATAATTGTTACTTAGCATTTTTAAGCACCTTATCACTGAAAAATTATGATTAGAGTTCCAAAAACTTAGTCGAAAACCATTGTAACATCATTGGCTGGGGTCGAATGTGACGTTACAACTGACCTTAATTGATGCAATTTATATATCGTCGATACGTATATGCAAATATATCTTGCAAATCCAATAATAAAACTCGATCATCACAAGATGAACAGATAAATCCACATGTGGAGTTTACCTCAGAATCGGTGAAACTTTTCCCAAAGCAATAGATCATATTTAATTTACTAATTGCAGATTCATTATTAACTACATGGTTGTGCAATCTAATAGTCGTTGCGAAATCGTGTACAGTGGGGTCCACTATAACGCAGAAGATACGTTCTGCATTATACGAATTTCGTGTTATACGGGACCAAGGGCGAAAAAGTTAAAATTAAATAAAAAAGTTTTTTCTCATACAGCAGAAAATAACATGCATTTTATTTCATTTTAGAACACGAAACACGTAAACTTTTTTTATTGTGTACACAGAATAACGTAAAATTTTTAATCGCGTTATACGGGGGCTGTAGTGCAATTTTTAGGTCGCGTTATATGTGGTCCTATTGTATTCCAAATTGTTACTTTCGACCCCGATCTACCCTATGTCCTCAAGAGATACGTACTTGCGTGTACGGTACCGCCGTGGTGTACACAAGGGCGCCGGTCACCGAATAAAATTTCAAAAGGTTCGTGCATTCATGCGGGCCGCTCTGGGGGCTGTCCGAGTCCTTCGTCCCGGCGATAGCTAACAATTTTCTCGAATTACTCCATTCCGCGTGCAACGGAGCCTTTAGGTTTGTACGTATCGTGATTGGCGACACGTCGTCGAATGATCGCAGCATCACGATACTGCCGTCTGCAAGGCAGACTGCTAAAACGTAATTCCGGTCGTCTGTAAAAAAACGTATTTCAGGTTCCCTTAATTGTGAAATCCGAGCAGAACGGCGAGATAAGAGCACAATGAACGGCAACTTTGTGTAGGAATTAATTAATATTGCGGTAAACAATGGTTACAAAGTTACTTTGTAACTCGAACAATAGCTCAGTTCCGTTGCTCTTGGTTTAATCGTTAACGTAATATTACGGGTGCGTAAAGGATCTCGTTTCCTAGTAATTCAATTCTACGTTATCTGTATAATGGGTATATTACGAATCCCTTGTCATTAAATGTCGTGAATATTTACTTTAATATTGCGTCAGATTTAGTAATACGGTAATGCTCGAATTAATGACGCATCATTTTAATAGGATATAGTCAAACATAGACACTTTCAGAGGGTGAACTCTACATGCAAAACTAAGACGGAAATGAAGAATGACAAAATTGCATTCGATGCTTCGTTTCCGAGTTATTAATTGGTGAAGATACTGGCGAAATATATGTGAAATTCGCCTGACATGGCGGGCTATTCTCCTTAAGTATCCATTTCACTTTATTTTATTCAGTTGATTTTATTTCATTTATAAATTTAACTATGTCATCGATCGATCCTGTGTATCGGCAGGGAATCGACTATTTTAAGTAGTATAACCCAACGCTGCAGACGTATTTCACACAGACTTTACCCGTAGTTTCAATAATTATAATAATAACCCGGAAACGAAGTGTCGAACGCATTTTCATTATTGATTTCCGTCTTACTAGGGAACATCCTGAATTGACAATCGCCATTTTTTAAATGTATTCAGGGCGTTTTGACCCCTCTGACGTGGATAAGAGCAGCTAAAAAAAAATACGTGTCAAATAGTTTTATGAAAACTACAATCTTACAGAGTTTCATCAATTCGGGATGTTCTCTTATTAGTTTTGCATGTGGAATTCACCCTATGAAAATGTCCCACATTTGTATCAATACCGTGTATAAATAAAAAAAAATATATATTTTAAATTTATAATTTCATTTTCATATACATATATGTATAGTATATACATACAATACCTATATGTATATTAACATATAATGTACATATCATATTAAGAACACTATAGAACAGTAGCATAAAGATTTTCTAACACTTTGCATACCACTTTATCGTAACATATTCCTCCCCACCTAGCGAACGACATATAAAAATATGGTACTTTCCCAGCTTAAGGGGTTAATAGTAAATTGAAGTGAGGTAACGTTTGGTACGATTATAATAGCTCAGTTTGCTTTTTTATTTAAATAAAAGACCTCATGTGCTTACAGATTTACAGCCTCATCGTGATGAAATATGGAACAATAAGGTAGCTACTTGTATGTTGAGTATGTCCAATAAATACGCACTTTCATATCTTATCTACAAAATAACTTATGTTGCATACTACGATTCTTCACCCTTGATTGATGTCAATTATTTAAAAAATGAATTGTTAACAAATTCTTATCTATAAATCTTGTATTTTCTTTCACTAGCATCACCTAGTGGAGAATTTTTTAAAGGACTAACATTTGAGTATCTTCAATTTAGAGTAAGTGGCAGACTATTTCCAAAATTGTAATGAAAAATAACATTTAGTTGGTTATTAAAAGTGACACACAGTAATCGTTATTGAATTATTTATCTGTGACACGAATCGTCTGTAGTGAAGGATTAAGTATTGTATTGACTACAAGTATGATCTACGACTTGTAGATTGGTTTAGAGCTTCCATTCATCACGACCAAACGCAATTGTTCTAGGATATTCAACAAATACAATTAAAACGTATTATTTCACAGAAATTATAATATGTACCTCTATGGGATCTGTCATTCGTTAAATCGTCGTCACCTTCCTCCATCGTAAACTTCTCCGCGCTCCATACCATTGAAGTGACACCAGCTGCTAGTTGTACCTCTGACACCATTGCTCCATGAACGTCCATTACTATTAATTGTCCTGCTGTTGTTCCAAAATATACCTGTTGACAGTGGTGTCAATATTGTATAGTCTAAGAATATATGGTTGATAATTCTCCTTAATATTTTAAGACGTGTCCTATTATTGTAGAAGTAGTACACTTCATAGGTTTTATTAACGTTCTTTCAGGGATGTATGTGTTCGGAACTAGGTATACGGGGTGTCCTACTTATAGTGAACAGCTAAATTCTTTCCGCTGCTATTGAAAGTAAGAAAGTATCACTAAGAGGAGTTTATGTACCTATATTGTTACCAAACATGCGTCTAGCGATGACAAAACAATGTCGTCCCAAGTCACCTTCAAAGTCATTCTAAGGTCGTCGATATTTATTTGGCACAATAACATCTGTTTTTTTAATAGTGTGACGTTGTAACCGATTTCGAGACGAGTTCAACGACTGATGAAAAGTATGTAATAATTGGAGGAGGATATGTTAAGCACGTCCCCTGTTAAAAATTAATAAAATTCTCGAAATTAAGTAACCTGTTATATCCCGTTAGGAATATTACCTCTTTTCCTTGCACATTTTTACTACATTACTTCGCAACGCGAAGAGCGAGCGAAAATCGTCAAATCAGCGACACGTCAAGCTACGCGCGTAGTCGAGAATCCTCGAGACGTTGACCGACGGACCGGACGGATCAGCAATATCGAAACACCGCCACGACGACTCGAGGATTCCCTGACGAACAATAGCTTGTTGCTACCCCGTATCTTCCACGTTCTTCAATAAAGGAAGGGGGGAAACATTATAAAACGATTGTCCAAACCGGGCAAAGGGTTCTTCTCCTTATTGTAATTCGTTCTTGTTAGACGGTGCTTCGTCTGCGTTTCTTCACGCGTAACGGCGAGCTGAGCGACAGCGGTCACTCAGCTGTTCAGTATCGGGTTCCGTGACGTTTCCTATTCAGTGCGACGCGACTTTGCGATTACGCGCGGCCTAACAGGCGAGTTCGATAAGACACCGGACCGCGAAGTGTGACGTCCAAGACGGTGATAACGTATCCCGCAGTGCCCGACCCCTGCATCACGGCTCCGAGCGCCAGCAAGTATTCCGCCCCTTCAAGGACCCGAAACCCGACTGAACCAGCCGCAAGCGTTAATCATTCATCATCATTGGTATGTTAAGACTTCATTGTATATTTTATTTTATTCATTGTTAGAATATATCTTGTTGTTGTTATAAACGAGAGTGATTTCCAATCCCTCCCGTTCCATATCCTAATTCTGTATATCATCGGTAAGTTTAGACAGGGCGTGCTTTAGCACCTTAAAAGAGCCAGGACCCGAAAATATAAATAAGGTAACGACCGCAACGCGGGACGTAACAAACCATTCTATTAATGGAAGCCCATTGTCGGTTTGAAACATTCATACATGAGTTAATACTATTTTGGGTCGCTGTGTATCTGTTCTGTATTGACGTTTACACAGAACAAAAATGGAGTCTCAAACATTAATTTTAAAGACAAAGCAGCAATAATTAATTCTTTGGAAACATTTTACATGGAAGAAATATTTCTAGGTTGCAGATGATTATACATTTACAGTATCTTTTACTGTCTATGTAAATACTGGTAAGTGAAGATTTTAATTTTCTAGTATAGGAGATAAATGCTAATTTTTATTTTTATAAATTATCAACTACAACTATGTAATTGTATTAACATTCGCATTCTAAATATCACATATTTTTATAGTTTATCGATTAATCAGCTTAGCCTAGCCTCCTCTGTCCTATTGTTTCTAATATTAATACCGATACCGTCAGGACAAACCGTTCGTTGACTTTTAGAGACTACTTAACACGTACTAGAGCTCTGGCCACTGTGATGGACTCTAATATTATCCTATAATAACGCGTTCATTTCAAGATTTCAAGGAGAAATGAATCTATTGTAGTTTGCGACATCTGTTTCTAAAGCATTATGTTCCGCGAACCATTCAATACTGTCCGACTGTTTTATTCATAAAGAAAGTGTCCGAAAATATGGAACGACAGCATGGTTGGGCTGGGCGATATATGTAGAATCAGTCGTTAAAGTTTAATAACTGAAACGTAGTTACCAGGTACATGAGTTAAAATTTAATCGTTTAGTATGACAGCAAAAAGAAATATTTTTCTAAGGTTCATCAAATTTTAGAACGTAAAAAAAGTAACTATTGTGGTCAGCCTGATAACAGATTAATATTTTGGATTGCATGTGTCCTTTGTAAACATAAATTTGTATGAACTAGTTTATAGAAAATTTCATGAATCAGATATTTGTTTATTCTTTTCAAGGTTTCATTAGGTTCCAAATAAAGTAAAAATCCCATTAAACTGTGATAAATACCTTAGTATATTGAGTTTGAAACAAAATAATGGATGAAACGTTTACAAGATGCCATAAAACTCGTTTTGCAACCCCAGAGGTTATGATTTATCACAAAAGGAAATAGATCGAAAATATCGAATAATTTTTTTTATATTTTGATTAGTTTGAAAACTTAGATAAATATTCATCACGAATGCCTTCACTTAACACGTTATTTAACTCACATCTGTGCCTTAAAAGCAAAGCCCTGCATCAAAAGATGTTATTCTATACTTTCGACATATTTTTCGAAAATAATATTACGCGTGTAATAAGTTAGTGCGTGATTTACCTGTTGATCATCCGGTGTCCAAATCCCACAGGTAATTGTAGCTTTGTCGTTCAACATCGACGACCAATATCTTTGACCAGCAACACTGCCTACGAGTACGAAACCGTCCTGCAAGTAGAAAAAAATTAATTTACAACTTCCTCCCAATTGCAGTGAAGTAAACTTTTCAAGACTAAAAATTAATATTTGCTAACGATTCTGATACAACATACAACGTAGTATAATATTTGAAATTTTATAATTCACATTCAAGTAAGTAAACCACAATAAAATACAACTTTTATAAAATTTGATAACACTTGAATATCATAAATTCCTATTTAATACCTACTATGTTTTAAAGAACATAATTTTGCATAGAAATCTGCTATTGTTATTGGCTTCATTTTATAAATAAACGTGTAACAGTTTCAACTTTGTTGCATATTAGCAAGAGGAATAAGAATATAATGTCAAGCATTTTATAGAATTCAAAATATTGTATTTTATATGACTTTTAGATGTACGATACCCTGTACCTCTTTATCATTGCTTCTGTCAAACAGTAAATTATTTAATAAATCATTCGTTCGAGGCTTTTATCGAAAAAATATAAATATATTGTTTCTACACTTTAAATTTTATTTTGTCATAAAAATTTATCATCACGTACATGCATGTATATTCGCGTAGAATTTACATATGCAATATGTTGTATCTATTTTCCTTGGACTGTTCTCGGATAGAAATTCAATACTTCTTTTCTGGTATTTCCTCGTCACGGTTCTAGACATATTTCATGGACACGATAGTACATTCATATTGCGTTCGATTTGAATTTGCGGGCATGTCAAGAACTTAGTAATGAAATGTTGTTCTATTCTGATATTATGTAGGTATTCCTGTAACTGGTGATTCAAGTAAAAAACTCAGGTTAAAAACTAAGTAAAAAAGAGCATAATAACATTTTTGTATTTGGTACTTCATTCTTCAAAAAACTAATGAAATACGATTGATTATTGTGTATGTCTGTTATTTAATTGTTTCGCATAATAAATTAATATCTACGCATCAGATACGAGATACACGGATACTTTTGTCTCTCACTACGTTTTCATTAAAGCCTCTGTTCATCTTGACACGAGCTTTAATAAACTTCTGTACGTCATTTCTATTAATCGCATATTGTTCAAGTAAAATTTTCTGTGTCTCTATTCTGTCCAACATTTATAAACATCTTTTAATAAAAGAGCATAGTTCAAGTACAGTTTTCCTTCAATTTTCAACCTATTACGCCCTTTAATTGTTTTATTTTCATATCTTGTACGTAAATCATGAAAAATAAAAGTTTGCATAAACGTTTGCAGTTTATTTATTTGATACGTGGGAAGTTTAATGAAAATGAATTACCCTGTAGCATATAAGAGCCATGCGACCGTCGTGTGACCAAGAGAAATGCGTGACGGGTATACTCCTGTCGTTGATCAGTTCTATACTCCATCTTCCTTCGTACTTGATCCATACGAAAATCACGCCGGAACTATCGCAGGAAGCTAACTTCTGATACGGCTCATTCCATTTCACAAGTATTACCTAAAAACAGAATTAATTCCTACGTTTATGAAGAAAAATTGAGTAGTTTAAGCACAGTAGACAGCCTCTTAACCGGCTTTTTTGGGACTGGACCCACAGGTTAGACAAATGAGTAGTCGGTTAATCCGTAAACACATGCAAAGTACCATTTATTGGTTGTAAACTAAATAAAGTGAAACTATGAAGATTTATTACATGTTATTATACGCCATATACTATAATATATACAAGGAGTCTCAGCTAAGACCGAGCACCTAAATATCCCCTTTATTTGTAATGATATCAGAACTCTTTCAAACACAGTTTGAATGGTTTCAAAAGAGCAGTTTTGTAAATAGACATTTTTTAAATATATTTTACATAGCGTAGCACCACCGATGGACATCACTTGGAACATTTGTAACATAAAAAGTTAGTTCACATAGCATCCTAACGTTGTATCAGAATTTCATTGTTTCTTCAATGTTCAAGGTTACCTCAGGGTTAAACATACCTGAATGCATCGTAACACATGCTAAAAGATGCAATAGGAAAAGTTGTTCGATTTCCAACAAAATATCGACGACCGAAAAAAATTCGAGAAAAATGTGTTTTTGCAATATTACGAATTATAACGTTTTAAAAAGCGACGCGGTTGCTCCAGAGTCTTTTAATGCAAAGAGAGTGTCAGTTGGTGGAGATTCCTTCGCTCTTCCTGGTAGACTAGTTTTTCGAAAGAAGTTTGATAGTAACATAAGTCCATATTTTTCGTGATTGGCTAGAGCCAAAAGTAGATGCGGCTGCAAAATACTTTCATTTGATTTGTTGTGCCTGGAAGGAAAAGGAATGCCTTTGGTTTTTCCAGGATGACATGGTGGAAGAAACTTTTCCTTCGGGTCGACGCGTGCATATGCAAATATTAAAGATGACCGGCAAAGGTTCGACTTGACCGCGCCAAATTCGTGAGCATATTTTAAAGGTATAGGTTTATGACCTTTTTGTTCTGGGTGTCGATGGTATACAGGATGTAACAAAAATGTTGTCCGACCCGGAAAGGAGGCACTCGAGGAGTGAATTGGAACAAGTTTTTCTTTAGAAACAATTTAATCTGAGGCTTCGTTACCGAGATATTAACGAAAAACCCCGACCAATCAGAGCGCGAGTTTGCCAATCGAGTTCCCGCGCTAGCGGTGGCTACGTGCTGCGATTTGTAATACTTAGAAAAATTCTAATCTGAATTTGGTGCTTCAACAGCAATCAAAAATGTAAATATCATATTACAAAAACAAGATGCATTACTTTTAACTTTCATATCCGTATAATGGAAAAATACAATGAAATTTGTAATTTCTAGCCGTGTATGATATATAAATGGAACTATTATTTATTAAGGCGAATAAAAATTGGTAGCTTGCTTATTGTCATGTTAATAAACGTATGTTGGAATTTCTTTTTTATTAGAATTTACAACTTCCTTTAGAAAATAAAATATTTTAGTGACAATATATGTAAATTGTATAGTTCGTCTCAATGCATTAGTTGAATTAACAACTGAAACTTTGTTACTAAATATTGGAAATTTGTATTGGTAACTTAAGAGCCACTAGAAAAGTTTTGTATAAACGAGAGTTTTTAAAATTAAATTTCCTTTGTAAGGGGAACATATGAAAATGAGACTGAAGTTCTAAGAAGAATCTTATGCCGAAGATTAACTCTTATAACGATAATTGCTTTAGTTGAAGTGGTTCACTGCAGCAGTAGGTTGATCTGCTAGATACGAAGTGAAATCAACCTCTGTGTTATTAGCATAAGGAAGTAATATCTGAATAGCGATCAGCTGCAGATGCAATGCAGCTTTTAATTCTCGATCGTAAATAGATCTCTGATACTATCAGCAGATGTTTTTAATGGATTCTACGTTTTAATTGGTTAACCTTTAAGCATCGCCGTCTTGACCACTGCAGTTCCAAGATTTCACATTTCCCATCAAGCTATTGTCTTCATAGTTAATTTTAAAAAGTATATTTCCTTACCCCTTACGTTTTTATGCAGGATCATCATTTATAAGGATCAATAATCAGACATTAACCCTCGTCCACTATTCATTAAATTGTTGCATTACTATACTTCAAAATTAAATTTGATCTTAGCTAAAATTGAATTAAGGAATTATGTATATTGCTGGTGTCAAATTAATTTACAAGTTTCTCTGACAAAGAATATAATTAAAAGTTAATGTCTGAGCTCGGGTCAAATTGATCCAAATAGTGCATGAAGGTTAAACCTTCTTTTTAAAAAAGTTTACGATAAAAAATGATCCAACTCCGTTATCCGAGTGCTAATGAAAGATATTACCTGTACATTCTTCAAATATAATTTTAAAAATATTTTATCTAATATTTTCTGATTAAATGGGGAATAATCGCAGAACGTTTTTTTTTCGGAACAAAATAACGTACTGCACATACAATGTATGTAGGTATAATAAAACGGTGTGCCCTGTAGGGTGTACGAAATGGTAGAACAGTAGTGAATATAATTAAGAAAATTAAACAAATTCTTGCTGAACGATATTTGCTAAATTTATGAGAAAATGATTTACAAGATTATTTACTACTTTTCGATTTATACATTTCGGTATATGTGTTTGAAATAAAAATCGGATTTAAAGGATTTTTTATGTAAAACGACAAACAAAACATGGATTATTTCAATCATAGGCAACAGGGGATATGAAAAATGAGATAACCTTCATAATTATGGTTAGCAATATATGTACATATACACATATATTGAACATGTAATGTAAAATCGACAAAAACCTTTAACCAAATCCTGTTTTATTATATTGTTCGTTATTTTTATATTATTAACATTTGTATTCATTTTTCCAAAATATAAAACGATCAATTTCATAAATGTATGTGCTATATTATATAACAATTTTACTAGATACACTGTCCAACAAATTAAAACCATTTTCACTGATGTGCAATATTCAGTCAGTAATCCTTGCACATTCCCTCATCTCAAACAAGAATCTGGAAGCAGAATTTATCATCTCAAGAATTTTACCACCCTTAATTTTTGAAAAATATAAGTTTTTGTAAGACCGCACGATTCTGGGCAAAAACGAGGTATTACGTGAAAACTGAAAATACTAGAAAGTTAAATTTAGTCTTAAAGATAGGAAAAAGTTACCTAAATATATGAGAGCATACAGTTTTGAATAAATGTTTTAATAACTTCTAGCGTTCTAGTTTTCACGTAATACCTTATTTTTGCAAAAATCGTGCGTTTTTACAAAAAAATATGTTTTTAAAAAATTGAAGGTGATAGAACAATTCTGTTTCCAGATTCGTGTTTCAGACGAGAAATTTTACAGGGAAAATTCAGAAGATATTACAGAACAAAATTTGTGTTATCTACACATTCGTGTCTTCTAATAAATTCGAATACAGACGAGTCGACTGTATTTATTAAGTATACTTCAAATGTTTCTGTTGCAACTAAACAACGATATTTCCTTATACAATGTGACCATTGTTATAATAATCATCCATTCTTGCTTCATTGTATCTTATTAATTTAGTTGAAAGGTATCCGGTTTTATGAGTAAACGATACATATCTTTTGATCTTACGAGTTCCCCGGAACAGACGCCTTTTGTTGCTTGTACTTGCCCGTCTGCTCATCTTTCCATCGGAGAAGTATATTATACTCGTAAGATCAAAGACGATCTGTGTCTTAGCGTGCTGCTGAAAGATTCGAGCTCGCAGACGCTTTATTTTTCGTTACAGTAGCTCCGGCGTTCACAATAAGGGGGTTGCTCGGTTTGACGGGTTCAAAGAAATCGACAACTTTTTTTTTTCCATGATACGTTATCAAAAATGACTCTGTGTGAAGAAGAAGAGCGTTTACTACACGGGCCTGGAATAGAAAATTAAAGGTGTGTGTATATTTTTTACATCAGAACTGATGTTACAAATTCTAATGTTTTAAAAGTAGGCTTCGAAGGCCTTATAAAACTCAATTAATAGGACCACGTTATAACCAAGAATTTATAATTACGTATATTATTGTGTTCACAATTGCATTCGTCTTGACCCATTTAATATAATCGAATCGTCTTTCGATTATGCGAAGGTTTTGTCGTGTTGGGAACAGTAGATACGCGGTTTATAGTATTCAATTTGTATCTTACTTTTGTTTCCTAGATCTTTCTGTTCAATTTCCGTCAATTTTATTGTATCACTTATATAAAAATTCTATCCTCTTGAAAATGGAAATATTTACAAAATAAAGGTTACTCGCGCACGTTTTCGAACTGTTTCAGAAGTACGAGATTTTTGTCTCGTTTATCGCGCGACTTTTAACGTGGCGTGTCGATTAATAGTCAAGATTCGAAATGTTAATAGAGCTGCTAATAAAACCTAAATGCGCAAAATGAGTCTGAATGCTCAGATTTGAACGGTAGCTTTTCCTCTGTACGATAGTTCCCTGAACGTGTATTGGAAACGTTCGTTGGTTAGAACGAGGTAGGTAAAGAGAGACGAAAACTGTGAGTGAACATGCGAGCCGGTGCACCGACGACACTCATCGATCGATCAACAGCAATACACTTTCATGACGGTACAATGACATGTTACTAAAGATAGCTTAAGCATAGACCTGGATTTGTTGTTTGCGGTAAATATCTGTGCTTTGCTCTCTGGCCGATGACGTTCACAGGTAGGATTACGTGCTATAGACATATAGGCGTATCGGCGAGCTAATTATAACGTTACGTAAAACAGATCTATCGTTTATCGTGTTTTCAGGATCCAAAACTAAACAGTCTGTCTCAAAAATAACCGAACAATTTAAAAATAAAAAATACTAGTTAGAGGCGGCGTCTATGCGAAAATTTTGTCGTCGATTAATGTACATCTTTGATTGATATTTTATCAATGTTTGATGAAATTTAGATCACTAGGTGTCGACTTATAACACCAAAGTGACAGTACTTTTTGTACACTGTA